GCTAATAGCCTACTGCTAACACTGATGAAGATGGTATTTAAAATTTAAAGTATGTTAATTGAAAACAGTATGGATGGTTCCTGTGGTCCGGCAGCTTGAAGTGCAGCTCAGACACTGGCTGCAACTGCAAGCTTCATGTCCTGTAGGGAAGAGTTATCAGCATCAGCACAGTTAGCAACATCAGCAGAGTTAGCAGTGTTAGCAGCATCAGCAGAGTTAGCAGCGTTAGAAGCATCAGCAGAGTTAGCAGCGTTAGCAGCATCAGCAGAGTTAGCAGCGTTAGCAGCATCAGCAGAGTTAGCATCATTAGCAGCATCAGCAGAGTTAGCAATGTTAGCAGCATCTGCAGAGTTAGCAGCGTTAGCAGCATCTGCAGCGTTAGCAGTGTTAGCAGCATCTGCAGATTTAGCAGCTTTAGCAGCATCTGCAGAGTTAGCAGCATTAGTAGCATCAGCAGAGTTAGCAACGTTAGCAGCATCATCAGAGTTAGCAATGTTAGCAGCATCAGCAGGGTCAGCAGCATCAGCAGGGTTAGCAGCATCAGCAGGGTTAGCAGCATCAGCAGCATCAGCAGAGTTAGCAGCATCAGCAGNGTGTGTGTGTGTGTGTGTGTGTGTGTGTGTGTGTGTGTGTGTGTGTGTGTGTGTGTTCATCTGTCTGCCTGTGAGTAAAATATCTCATGCTCATGGACACATTATAATGAAGTTCATACTGCCATCACATTAAATTTTAGAATATTAGCTAGTCTGTAAAACTGACAGATAAACACTGATTACTTTCTTTCACTGAGTCATGAAATATTTTGCTAACAGACAGTGACTCCAAATAGTAACAAAATTGTTATAATGTGTTAGGTGAAGTTTAGGTTGAAGTGTTTGTTGTATAACCACTGGCTTTTTGTCTTTTGTCTGAGAAACAACAGATCCAGCAGTTCCAGTTTGTGCTGCTGCACCACACATGAACACAAAAATCTTTCATAGCTCAAAACAAACATTAATAAACACTAATAATTAGCACATTTACTGTGCAGCTGTTTGAGGGAAACTTTCAGCTGTTCTGAGAGTAAAAACATCAGGTGAAGAACCAGAAAGAAACAAATTCTCTAGAAGAAATGATTCTCTCTAATACTTATATTTGTCAGAAGCTCATCGTGAACTGTCTGTTCATCCAGCTGGAGAGAACCAGAGGATTTTAACAGCCCTTAGCAAAAAGCAATATACTTGAAGTTCATTTTAATAAGTATACCTGAGTAAAATTTCAAGTGTACAAGCAAGTTGCAATGTGTAAATAACAGGAGCTGTAATTTTGTTCTGCATTGCATCTTTGATGTTGTGTGTGACAATAAAGCTGATTCTTAAGTATAATAATTTAATACTCATTTGTACTAAATTGGGACCTTTTTGTTTGTTTATAAAAAGTATACATTACGTATACTGCCGTAAAGTCTATTTAAGTTTATAAACTTACCAAAAATAAATATAATTTAAGTACATATCATGAAGCATACTAAAGTGTAAAGTGTATTTCCTGAAAGTAGTCTTCTAAGTATACTTCTAGTTTAATCTGTAAAATAAAATAAACAAACAAATAAACCAGTCTGTTTGAAAATGTACTTTCTGTGTACTACTAACGTTTATATTGGTCAAAAGTATAAACAGTATAGATTAAGTATACTTAAACTTTTTGTTTATGTTTAGTACAAGCCGAGTATAGTGTAAGATAAACTGGGTCAAGTATATCTCATGTAAGCACATAAAAAGTAAACAGGAAGTATACTCTTTTATTTTTACTTTTTTAGTTTAAAAATAGCGTAGTAATGGATACTTGCATGTACTACTTTTTGCTAAGGGAGTCTTGAACACACCGACACCACGTTCATTTGCCTACATTTTAATAAAAACAACAGAAAAAATAAAGTGAATACTTCAGTCAGCTGACACTTCGAGGCTCAGCTCATTCTGTGCTGTAGTCCTGCAGATTATTCTGTCAGTCTTGTTTGCAAAATATTGCAGTTTAGCGGTTCATTCCCACGGTGAGCGTGTTTAATTCATGGCTCTGTGTTTGTTTCTCTGACCATTAATGAAGCTGTAAATCAGCCGTGATGCCGAGCATCTACAGCTCGTGTTTGTTCACTGTCGGTGCAGGAAATTTTCTGTCCTGTGTTCCACCTATAATAACATCTCCCAACTCAGCCATCGGAGACTTTCTGTGCTATAAAACCAGACACTAATGCAGCTTTTATGGGCCACAGTTTCAGCAGCACCTGCAGCGTGTGAACCCTGTGCACAGCACAACTCCTGCAAAATGTAGCAACATTTACATTTCACAGACTGTAATAAGAGTCAACTGCTGTTCATGTTGTAGTGTTTTATTAAAAAAGAGGCCAATAAATGTATTTCTTTTTACATTTATGAACAGTGTTTTGTTATTGCTTCTAAAAGGCAACAGATCAGAAATAAAACGTTTGTTTGTCAGYAAAACATCTCATGCTTTWTACAGATATTGAGCTAAAACCTGATGTGTAGCTGAGCCTGATCCCAACACAAGCTGTTAAATGTTAAAAATGCATTTTCATGTTTTAGCTCACTTTCTGAGTGTAAATTTCAAGTGAAACATTTTCCATTAATATTTTATTGTTGTTTAGGTCACTGTTGTTATAATTTTCTATTTTTCACTAAAACTTGAATTTAAATGTTAAATGTAAACATTGAATTCTAAATCTAAGTGCGAAAGTTAAAATAAAATTTTGAAGTTTACATTTTAGTATTTCTGAATGGAAAGCAGCTGGTTGGTGCTTGGCTCTTGTTATGACATCATCATCCTGAGACAATAGACACTGCGAACTCTGCTAATAGCCTACTGCTAACACTGATGAAGATGGTATTTAAAATTTAAAGTATGTTAATTGAAAACAGTATGGATGGTTCCTGTGGTCTGGCAGCTTGAAGTGCAGCTCAGACACTGGCTGCAACTGCAAGCTTCATGTCCTGTAGGGAAGAGTTATCAGCATCAGCACAGTTAGCAACATTAGCAACATCAGCAGAGTTAGCAGCATTAGCAGCATCAGCAGAGTGAGCAGCATCAGCAGAGTTAGCAGCATCAGCAGGATTAGCAGCAACAGCAGGGTTAGCAGTATCTGCAGGGTTAGCAGCAAGAGCAGGTTTAGCATTATCTGCAGGGTTAGCAGCATCAGCAGAATTAGCAACATCAGCAGGGTTAGCAGCATCAGCAGAGTGAGCAGCATCAGCAGAGTGAGCAGCATCAGCAGAGTTAGCAGCATCAGCAGAGTGAGCAGCATCAGCAGAGTTAGCAGGATCAGCACAGTTAGCAGCATCAGCAGAGTGAGCAGCATCAAAAGAGTGAGCAGCATCAGCAGAGTTAGCAGGATCAGCAGAGTTAGCAGCATCAACAGGGTTAGCAGCGTTAGCAGCATCAGCAGTGTTAGCAGCATCAGCAGTGTTAGCAGCATCAGCAGGGTTAGCAGCATCAGCAGATTTAGCAGCATTAGCAGCATCAGCAGGGTTAGCAGCATCAGCAGAGTTAGCAGCATTAGCAGCATCAACAGAGTTAGCAGCATCAGCAGAGTTAGCAGCATTAGCAGCATCAGCAGAATTAGCAGCATCAGCAGAGTTAGCAGCATCAGCAGAGTTAGCAGCATCAGCAGAGTTAGCAGCATTTGCAACATCTGCAGAGTTAGCAGCATCAGCAGAATTAGTAGCATTAGCAGCATCAACAGAGTTAGCAGCATTAGCAGCATCAGCAGAGTAAGCAGCATCAGCAGAATTAACAGCATTAGCAGAGTTAGCAGCATTATCAGCATCAGCAAAGTTAGCAGCATCAGCAGAATTAGCAGCATCACCAGCATCAGCAGAGTTAGCAGCATCAACAGGGTTAGCAGCATCAGCAGAGTTAGCAGCATCAGCAGGGTTAGCAGTGTTAGTAGCATCAAAATAAGTTAGCAGCATCAGAAGGGTTAGCAGTGTTAGCAGCATCAACATGGTTAGCAACATCAGCAGAATTAGCAGCATCAACAGGGTTAGCAGCATCAGCAGAGTTAGCAGCATCAGCAGGGTTAGCAGTGTTAGTAGCATCAACAGAGTTAGCAGCATCAGCAGGGTTAGCAGTGTTAGCAGCATCAACATGGTTAGCAACATCAGCAGAATTAGCAGCATCAGCAGTATTAGCAGCATCAGCAGAGTTAGCAGCATCAGCAGGATTAGCAGCAACAGCAGGGTTAGCAGTATCTACAGGGTTAGCAGCAAGATCAGGGTTAGCAGTATCTGCAGCATTAGCAGCATCAGCAGAGTTAGCAGCATCAGCAGAATTAGCAAAATCGGCAGGGTTAGCAGNTTATTATGCTGCTGCTGTTTTCATTTAAGACAGTTTTTCAAGACTCTCAAACTGCATCTGGTTTATATGCTCCTTTATAAGTTCAATTAACTACAAACTAAACATGGGTACATTATCAAACTACTGACAAACAGGTAAGGAAAATAAACTAACATTTACCTGTAACATATATTAAATGTGTATTTTCAATAAAAGAAATAAACAGTAATAATGTAAACAGAAATAAAGCTGCTCTGATTATTCAGAAGATTAAAATCCACAGGTCTGGAGACAAAGTTTTTAAAATAATTATGTTAAAGTTTATAAGATGATTACTTTGACATTTATATATTTGTTACTTTTGTTATTTTCAGAACATTCTAATAACCTCTGCATGATTTTCTTCGTCTTTAACAAGAGAACCAACAGATTTGTTTGTTCTTCACTAACATAAATCTAATAAACTGTTAATTTACAGTAATTACAGAAACTTAAAAAACCTAAAGACTTGATTAGAAGTTGGCCTTTGACCTACACTTTTCCCGCCCTGCCAGATAAAAGTAAGATAAATCCGTTTTCTTTGAGTTCACCGGTTAATCTGAGCAGGTGAACTCAGGTGTGTGCAGGTACGGACACGACGTCACAACAGCTAAAACTTCGGCTCTACTTACACGTTCAGGACGTTTTTGCTGCTGCTGAAATAAGACTGAGGGACCAGGTCCAGGTCTTTGAGAACTGAGCCCACCACGGAGAAGACTAAGAAGAACCAGGGGAGGTTCTGTCTGAGAGCCAGTCTCCTCCGAAGACTCACTAACCCGTCCACAATGACATCTACCGCCGCCATGTTGAACTGGACCAGGGAGGCAGGCGGAAGTTTTTGTGACGTCACAAAAAAGTTCAACCAATCAGGCTTCTCTCTCTCTCTTTCTCTCTTTAGTATGTTTCAGAGCCCTACAACTGTAAGGTGCATTACCGCCACCTACTGACATGAAGCGTGGACTGGATTAACGCCAAAACAAAACAAAACCACCTATATTTTTTCAAACAAGTGAGTCTGTTTCAAGTACTGTAATAATTCGAGAGTACTTTCAGATTTAGAATTCCCTCATAATATTTCTATAAAGTCCAACCTTATTTTCACTTCATTAAGTCTGTTAATTTAATTCTTTCATTTCTGTATTTTTGGCAATGTATGTTGTATGTATGGCAACATGTTCTCTGTCCTCGTCTTCTCCACAGTACTCACATTTTCCTGTATTATGTTTTCCAATAATGTTTTGTTTAACCCTGCATGTCCTAATCTGAGCCTTGATATAACTGTTTCCTCCCTTCTGTTTCTTCCAGTTCCTCACTTCTCCTGTTTTCCGTTGAATTCTATAAAACCATCTCCCTGTTCTTTCTTCCTCCCACTGTTGTTGCAATTTTTCTCTCATTTTTAGTTTTATGATATTTTTAATTTCTGTTTTACTGAATTTTATTTCTATTTCAACTACATTGCTTTTGGTAGCCTGTTTTGCTATTTTGTCTGCTTTTTCATTTCCTCTTATTCCTGTGTGTGCTGGTATCCATAGAAAAATTACTACTAGTCCCATCATTTTAATCCTGTATAGTGTTTGTTTTATTTCTATTAATATGTCTGGCCTGCTTTCTGAACCATTATGTTTTTTAAACTGAGTAATGAAGAGCTGGAATCTGAACAAATTATTGGTCTGAGTGGTTTATTATCCTCAATCCATTGACCTGTGAGTAATATTGTGATCATTTCTCCTGAGTGTACTGATATTTTGTCACTAATCCTTTTCCCTAGTTTTACTCATAATTCTGGTACAATAAATGCTGCCCCGACTCGATCGTCTGTATCCTTTGATGCATCTGTATATATTTTTATATATCCATAATACTGATTTATGTATTCTATACCTAAATTTGAGTTTGTATTATTTTTATTTCCTTTTTTCCCCTGATAATTTTAAATCTACAGTTGGTTCTGTTAATAACCATGTATGATTGGTATTGGTACTGTTGGACTGGTATTCATGTTGTTGATTTGAATTTCTGTTGTTTTCTGATTTATGATCCAACCAAAACTTTTTGTCCCATTTTTTTTCTTTTTCCCAGCATGTTTGTAATATTTCTTTAGTTGGATGATTTTGTTCATGACCAGTAATTTAATGCTAATTGCTCTCTTCTAATGTTTAGTGGTGATTTTACCATCTCTACCAATAATGCTCCTGTGGGTGAATCAGGCTTCTCTTTCTTCTTCAAGGGGTTTATTGTCAGTTTTACCACCACCTACTAGTTTGAAAAGTTAGTGTTGTCCTTGTCATATTGTTTTTTTAGAAATGTAATCAGAGTTGGAAAAGGCCTTCTTTTGCTTTCAGATTTTTTCTCATGTATATTTACAATACTATCTTTCTGTCTGTCTAAATTCTCTGTCCATCTCTGACATATTAAATAACTTTTACTTTTTTCACAATGTTGAATGTTTCCTGTATCATGTTCACTGTGTATAAACTAAAAATGAATCTTTATTTTTTTCTTCTTCATGAGAGTTGAATCTACTTTTGCAGTCAGTAGCATACATAGTTTATGTGAACATCTGGTTGATCATCCAAAACCTCTTGCTTCCCTCTTTATTATTTCCCAACATGACTTTAAAATGCCTAAGATTATTTCCTTGTAATTTGATCCAATAATTGATGTTCTCTGAATTGATGCAGGATTAGACTGACACAATAAATATCTGACCTGAGTCGGCTCTGAACTGCTCTCTGTTTCTAAAAACCTTTTAATCTTTGATGAACAGCAGATCAACAGCTGTTAAGCAAATTTCAGTTGCTTCTTTGTATTTAATTTCATGTATTTTACACAATTTCATAAATTTTGTATTTTCCATTTATTTGTCCAACATAAATTTATCTCTAGCTGGACTCATATGTGTTTTCTGTAACATGATAAACTCTTATTAATGAACGAAAGGTCACCTTGCTTCTTCTGTATGATCGTAAAATGAGTTGTGTCCTTATAAATCAACTTCAAACTTTAAACCGTTTCCAGATGTAATTGCTATTTTTCTCTACATTTGTAACATTTTATTGTAACATTAAACACAGTTGAAAATTACAAGTTTTATTAAACTATAAGGCTGCTCTGGTCTTTTCTATTGCCATCTGTCCAAATGAAACATTTATTTTTCGCTACAGCTGCAGATACATTTTTCGTTATTCTTCTGCCACCTGCTGGACACAACTAGGAACTACAGGCTGAAAGTCTGGGCAGAGAGAGAATGAGGAACCTGAGTGTCTTTTATTTGTCATTGTTCTGAAAATGTTCTTCATTTACTCCCTCCACCCTATATATATATATATATATATAGTAAGTAAAGTTTTATTTACAAAGCGCCTTTCACAGAAATATATTCACAAGGTGCTGTACAATCATTAACAATATTAAAATGGTGAAAAGAATAAAATGAAACAGAAAAACATAAATAAGAAACGAAAATTGAAACGTCAAATCAGGAATTAATTTCTAAAATTGTAAATCAAACACAATGTCAATCCAGGTCAAAATGTACAGTAATACACAAAAACATAATGAATGGGGGAGAGAAAAAATGGCGTAAATTCAACAGTAAAGAAAACAAAGATTAGCGAAGCATTCACAATGGAGGTAGGCTGGCATTAATGGTGAAATGGTTAGCTANAGCAGGGTTAGCAGCATCAGCAGGGTTAGCAGCAGTAGCAGCATCAGTAGAGTTAGCAGCATCAGCAGGGTTAGCAGGGTTAGCAGCATCAGCAGAGTTAGCAGCATCAGCAGGGTGATATAAACTCAGAAATAATCAGACTGTGAGTGGTACTGAAGAGGCAGGAGAAGTTGTACAAAAGGTAAGTGATTTATTATTTACAGGAGTGGCAGTGCTCATCTATCTGAAAAGGAGGGGAAGAGTTCCAGGTAAGTCCAAACAGTTTGAGAAGTTGAAGATTCAATATTGTTGAGAATAATGAGATTTCTTTTCTTGCAGGACTTTGACGGCGAGGTGACTCCAGGAGGATGAAAAATCCAAAGGTAAGTTGATATCTCTTCAGGCAGAGTGGTATGTGGCAAAAACAGCCAAACAGTGAATCCTTTTGTGAAAACCTCCCTTGGCAAAATTTCCAATGGTGCTCCAGGCAGCAGGAACTTCGTGGCAGTGGAACCTTAACAAGATGTCAAAGGTAAGTAACATAAACACTTTTACTTAGATTAGCTCATTGACTGAGTATTCTACCATAAACAGAGAGATGCATCAGCGAAGCCCAGAACTTCAGGTGGAGCTTATAAATTACAGGAGCTCATTAGTAGAAACCGCCAACAGGGAAGGTGATTAGAGAGGAGGAGGAGGGCATGAAGATCCACGATCTTCACACAGGGTTAGCAGCATCAGCAGGGTTAGCAGCATCAGCAGAGTCAGCAGCATTAGCAGCATCAGCAGGGCTGGCAGCATTAGTAGAGTTAGCAGTGTCAGCAGAAATAGCAGCATCAGCAGAGTTAGCAGCGATAGCAGCATCAGCAGGGTTAGCAGCATCAGCAGAATTAGCAGCACTAGCAGAGTTAGCAGCATTAGTAGCATCAGCAGAATTAGCAGGATTAGCAGAGTTAGCAGCATCAGCAGGGTTAGCAGCATCAGCAGAATTAGCAGCATTAGCAGAGTTATCAGCATTAGCAGCATCAGCAGAATTATCAGGATGAGCAGCATCAGCAGGGTTAGCAGCATCAGCAGAGTTAGCAGGGTTAGCAGCATCAGCAGAGTAAGCAGCATCAGCAGCATTAGTAGCATCAGCAGAGTTAGCAACATCAGCAGAGTTAGCAGCATTAGCAGAGTTAGCAGAGTTAGCAGCGTTAACAATATCAGCAGGGTTAGCAGCATCAGCAGAATTAGCATCATTATCTTAGTTAGCAGCATCAGCAGAGTTAGCAGTATTAGCAGCATCAGCAGAGTTAGCAGCATCAGCAGAATTAGCAACATCAGCAGGGTTAGCAGCATCAACAGAGTTAGTAGCATCTGCAGGATTAGCAGCAACAGCAGGGTTAGCAGTATCTGCAGGGTTAGCAGCATCAGCAGGGTTAGCTGCATCAGCAGAATTAGCAGCATCAGCAGAGAGCAGTATCAGCAGGGTTTGCAGCATCAGCAGAATTAGCAGCATTAGCAGCATCAGCAGAGTTAGCAGCATCAGCAGAATTAGTAGCATTAGCAGCATCAACAGAGTTAGCAGCACCAGCATAGTTTGCAGCATTAGCAGCATCAGCAGAGTTAGCAGCATCAGCAGAATTAGTAGCATTAGCAGCATCAACAGAGTTAGCAGCATCCGCAGAGTTAGCAGCATCAACAGAGTTAGCAGCATCAGCAGAGTTAGCAGCATTAGCAGCATCAGCAGAGTTAGCAGCATAAGCAGAATTAACAGCATTAGCAGAGTTAGCAGCATTATCAGCATCAGCAGAGTTAGCAGCATTAGCAACATCAGCAGAGTTAGCAGTGTTAGTAGCATCAACAGGGTTAGCATCATCAGCAGAGTTAGCAGCATCAGCAGGGTTAGCAGTGTTAGTAGCATCAACAGGGTTAGCAGCATCAGTAGAGTTAGCAGCATCAGCAGGGTTAGCAGTGTTAGCAGCATCAGCAGGGTTAGCAGTGTTAGCAGCATCAACATGGTTAGCAGCATCAGCAGAATTAGCAGCATCAGCAGCATTAGCAGCATCAGCAGAGGTAGCAGCATCAGCAGGATYAGCAGCAACAGCAGGGTTAGCAGTATCTGCAGGGTTAGCAGCAAGAGCAGGGTTAGCAGTATCTGCAGGGTTAGCAGCATCAGCAGAGTTAGCAGCATCAGCAGATTTAGCAATATTAGC